TCAAAATTCTAGTTTTTCACAAAAAATGTGAAATAACGTGAACAATAATAACTTACACATTCACGTATACCATCTTTATTAATCAAATCATCAAATTTGAAATATTCCAATTCTAGAATCTGATAAATGTGGTCAAATAACAGGTGGACATCAAACTGTCATATTTCTAACGGTCTCTTGACCAGCATATCATCAAACGTCGCAATTTTTGTATAAAGCGCAATAATTTTCGAAAATAAAATGTCAAAACCAAAAGCGATATTTGTCTTGAATCCCGGAGAAAAGCTCACCGGAGAAAAGCTCACCGGAGATAAGCTCACCGGAGATAAGCACACCGGAGATAAGCTCACCGGAGAAAAGCTCACCGCAAAACCGGCGGATGCGGAGAAAAGCTCACCGGCCATTGAGCGTATGCGAAGAAAAGCTCACCGATTTTTTTTTCTTCTTTTTATATGGAGGCTATTGGATCATGCGTAACATATATCAAATTATTATCATTAAAATTTGTCAGCTTTGTAAAAAAGAAAATGTCCTTTTTTGTATTATTTGTTAAGCTTATTAGGTATATTGCTCCCAAATTAATAATTGCGGGCGAGTGTTTTCTGTGGCTTACTCTGTAGGCAACGAAAGCCCAACTCAAATTTGTATGAACTTGAAAAACAGAAAAAAGTTCGAAAACTTATAGCGAATTCGTTTCATGGCACTCGTGCCCACGCGTGCCCACTCGCAGCGTGGAACGGGTTCGTTTCGGCCGGCACTCCACGAGTGGTTGCACTCTAAAGTTCGTTTCAGCGCTGACACCCCACGCGTGCATGCAATCGCTGCACCGAGAAAATCGGGAGTGCGCCAAAATGCAATCCCGTCATGCCTCGCTCCGGCGGGGCCGGCGAGGAGCGGGAGCAGACGACGAGGGTTCGTCTGCTACAATGTGTCGCGGGACCGAACGGAAAAAAAAAAGTAGATTTTCTGATAGAAATCGCGTCCCGCGGGCAACGAAATCAAACGCGAGCCTGAATTGTGAGCGTCTGCTATTTCACGAAGGAATCGATTGACAACCCGTGATTTATTTGCAGGTTTTAAATTACTCTGTTGCCGTACAAACGCTGAAATATACCAGTGTGTAAAGAAATGCTCAGAACAAACGCAACAACGGCCCCCGAGATGTCTATCACCATCCGTGTGCGGGTGAAAAATTTAACATTTGTCGATAAAACTCCCCCAGCAGAAACCTCTGACTGCCCAATGAGCATCAGATAAATCTAAAGATGGTGACTTTACCCGAGGATTGGGCAACATCATCATATTTAACATTTACCTACGCAGCTAACTTGCCCCGTCGTATTTTGTTCGAGAAAGCTCTCGTTATCGACGCCGTCACCAAGGCTAATATCTAATCCACCTATAATGACGATCCAAATCGAAAGTCCTAGTTTTGCTGGATATTCCAACAGGCTAGTTTTAAGCTAAAGTTGAGGCTTGGGCGAGTTGGTACATACTTCGGAAATTAAAAACAGCGCGGAAAGACGAGGACCAGACAAAGAAGTGACACGGACGTAGCGCTCGCGAAATTCTAGAGGCTGTTGAGATAGCGAGGCTGGGTGCAGCATGTGTAAGCAGTCCTTCTGTGGCCCTATCAGGCAAAGAGATGAATTTTCTAGTTCCGTGACTTGCTCGATTTTTAGCACATGCTCTGTACGGCTGTGTCATGGCGCATTTCATTATTATTTTTTTCAATGTTTTTTTCAATGTTTTTTATCATTGTTTTATTTTTATTGGTGATACATCACATGGGCTGAATTTTTTATGTTCTTTTGTTCGTGACACCGCAAATAAATATTGCGAGTTTGCGTTCAATAAACTCAGTTGTAAGTCAGCGCTACGTCCGTGTCACTTCTTTGTCTGGTCCTCGTCTTTCCGCACTGTTTTTAATTTCCGAAGTATGTACCAACTCGCCCAAGCCTCAACTTTAGCATCATTCATTTATAGTACAATGGGCCCTTTTAATTGTTTCACTGTTCAGCCTTGTTTCATCGTCGCCGTCTACGCCATCGCCGTCTGCAACGCACGAAGATTCTCATTTCACGTTCGAACCCGGCAGCTTCCTCCAGAGATCATCCTACTCTTCGGCGGCTTCAAACCCTCGCAGGGGCACGGAGTCAGGATGTGCAAGGTCCTCAGTTCGGAATGGCATCGACAGGCCCGCTTCTACAAGGAGTGCCTTTTTCTCATGCTTCAAGGCACGACTTCCAACGGTCACGGAGGCAGGAGGTGGCGTGAGTACCGCGAACTTGCTGATGCTACTGCTGAGTTCCATTGGCGACGCATGCTTTCGGAGCTACGTGCTTCGGCTCCCAAGAGGGCTGCGCCAAGCAGGTCCACCGTCCACACGCTGGGTCAGGTCTCCCTGCCTGAGAGCATCCGTCGTGTTTTGGACCGGGGTCCAAAGTTTGCCGTGGAGCCGAAGAAATCGCGGGCGGAACTTCTGAGCCTCGTCCGGGATGTTGCCAGGAAAGTTCCGGAAGCGGAGGCTGAGAGGTGCGTCTCTGAGGGACTGGATCTGTTGACCAGACGCACGCCTGGCGCTAGCAAGATCCCGGTTAAGAAGGTGTCAACCTTTTTGAAAGATAACTCTTTGTCTTTATTAGCCTCAGATAAAGAAGGGGGGTTCCTTGTCCTTCCAGTTGACCTTTATAAATTCAAGGCACTTGTGGCTATTTCGTCTGTGTTCCTGCCTAAGGACAGCGTTTCCCTAACTAAACAAAAATCTGAGGCGAAAAAACTTTGTAAGAGGCTGAACCTCGAACAGCTGGTTAAGAAAATTGACGCGTGGAAACAGCTTAGTTTGGAGCTTTTCTTCGCAGCTAAGACGCACAAGGTAGATTGCCCTTTGCGTGTCATTGTTTCGGAGGCCGGTACTTGGCAGAAGTCGGTTGCCTTGTTCCTGCAAAAGAGTTTGAAGCTGTTTGAGATTCACGATCCTTTTCTCGTGAAGAGTTCCGATGATGTCATTTCTTTTCTTAAAGACAACCAGCGCACTAGCTTTATGGCCTGTTCATTCGATATTAAGGATTTGTATTACTCCTTGCCACATAATGGACTCCTTACCTGCATTCGTGACTGCATCGATGTGTTTGGTGTAGTTGCCTTTCAAAATGCTGCGGGAATTTCAGTTGAAGGCTTCATGGAACTCCTTGATATGTATCTGAGGTCGACCTTTGCGACTTGGGAGGGTAACATTTATTTGCAACGGCAAGGGGTATGTATTGGTTCTTGCATTGCCCCCCTACTTAGCGACTTGTTGTTAGCGAGCCTTGACCGCCTCATCTTTGAACGGCTTGGGGGAACCAAAGTTGCAAAGGTCTTCCGGTACGTAGATGATTTTCTGATTTTGTTTCATGCCGATGCCGTATCCTTTCTTTCGTCAATGACTGACGTTTTAGGCATTTTTAGTCATTGCCTTTCGCCACTTGTTCTGACTCATGAAGTGCCTGAGGCAGGATGCATCCGGTTTTTGGATTTGAATTTTACTATATGTCCAGGTCATCTTTGTTGGAGCTATGAACCCCGTGCTGGAAAGCCATTGTTGCCATTCGAGTCCGCTCACTCAAAAACTGTCAAGCGGGCGATTGCAAGGACTTGCTATACACATGCGCTGCGTAGGTCTTGTTATCATAAAATTAAACATAGCTTTGACAGGCAAACTGAACGCCTCGCAGATGCTGGGTTTCCCTCTCACGTGTTAACAACGGTCGCCGAGTCTTTGCTGAAAGATATCAAGAGCAGCCCTATGAGAAGTGAAGAAGAGGCCAACAACAGAAAGGGAAGGGAAAGAAGAAAGTTTGTGGTTATTCCCTACGTACACGGCCTGTCCCACAACCTAAAACGCATTGCTGGCAGGTGTGACGTCGACGTTTTATTCTCTGCCCCGGACAAGCTGTCCAGGTTGTGCAGAGCTGTTAACCCTTCTTCGAGGGCGGCCACGGCTTGCAGTACGAGGCATCGAGATCGCTTTGTCCCGTGTTCGGAGGGGGTTGTTTATTCTCTCCCTCTGACGTGTGGCAGGCGCTACGTTGGCCAGACGGGCCGCTGTCTCAACGACAGGTTGAGAGAGCACGCTTACAGTGTCTCCACAACCGTGTCTGGTCACCTGGGCATTCATTGCCGCGACTGTGGTTGCCTTCCCGACTTCCAACGGTGTGAGGTTGTTAAGCGTCATAGGGACCAGCTTACTCGCGAAATTCTAGAGGCTGTTGAGATAGCGAGGCTGGGTGCAGCATGTGTAAGCAGTCCTTCTGTGGCCCTATCAGGCAAAGAGATGAATTTTCTAGTTCCGTGACTTGCTCGATTTTTAGCACATACTCTGTACGGCTGTGTCATGGCGCATTTCATTATTATTTTTTTCAATGTTTTTTTCAATGTTTTTTATCATTGTTTTATTTTTATTGGTGATACATCACATGGGCTGAATTTTTTATGTTCTTTTGTTCGTGACACCGCAAATAAATATTGCGAGTTTGCGTTCAATAAACTCAGTTGTAAGTCAGCGCTACGTCCGTGTCACTTCTTTGTCTGGTCCTCGTCTTTCCGCGCTGTTCTTAATTTCCGTAGTTTTAAGCCGTGCCCTTTCAGTGGTTCACGCATAATACCATGCTCAAACGGATCAAGCTTCTGCTCGGACAGCATCATCAGTTTTCTTCAGTGTAAACGGTTATAAGAATTGAAAGATCGCAACCAGCTGCTTTGTAGACAGCTGGTTGCGGATATTTACGCCGTTTGCAACTATCTCTACGGCAGCCGAGCTGCTTGATGACATCGCAATTACAAACGACGGGTTGAAGTTGCCAGCGTTTGTAGATAAACGTTGGTAGCGACTGCATTCTCGCATTCCCACGCATCGCACGGAACAGAAGGTAGGTAGTAAACGTTTATTGGAAGAAACATTCGAACGGTCGCCCTAGGCGTGGTTCGAGGAGGGAACAGGTTCTGGGGAAGTTTTGACGTGAAGGAACGGCCGTGCTCAGAACGTCGACTCCAGGCCCGTGTTTTCTAAGTACAGGAGCAATGAGTCCAGGATCAGTGCGATTCTGGCCGAGTCTCCCTCAGGCCGGGCCCAGCCTTCCAGGTTGGACGGCCTCGATGCAGGTGGAAGAAGACTAAGCGCTTTCTTTCTTTCGTTGGTGAAGTGACCGCACTCCCACACGAGGTGGTGCAGGTTTGCACTTAGGGTTTCTTTGCAGTAGGGACAGATCTCAGGCTGTTCCAGTGAATGTTGGCGTTGCATCTGTTGCGGCTGTGGCGGGGAGGCCGGCGGACTGGCTGTCAACACTGGCGGTCTGTTTCTGCCGATCTTGCCAGCACTCAGTTCCCACTTGCGTCGGTCGTGAGGGGTCACGGCACTGCCGGTCCTGATCCTGCGCAGAAGGACCATTTTCTTCCTGGAGTAGCGGCCGAGCGGGATGGGGTCGGGTTCGCGCGGGAGGGAGGCCAGGAGCCTCTTCTTTAAGTCTTGTCTGACCTTTCTCATTGCGTCTTCAGGGTCGTAGAGGGTCCGGTCTCTTGTCTCGTCTTGTTTCCTGGGGTCGGTCCTGCCAGAGTAGGCTGAAGTGCCGGGCAGGGAGTCCACACTTCGTGGCCGCGAAAGGAGAAACGTTGCTAGCGCTTCCGCGGACCGGTGAGCGGCCTCGTTGCCCGGCACTCCGGCATGGCCGGGGACCCAGTGTACAGTGGTTTTAACGTTCTTGCTCTCGAGGCGCCTGGCGAGTGCAAGAATGCGCCGGGTGGTCGGGCTGTTGGGGTCGTGCTTTCGGCATCTTCGTATGGCTTCCTGGGCGTCGGTGTAAATGTCCACCGTCTTCACGGGTGAGTTCAGGCTTTGGGTAACGTGTTCCAGGGCGTGAAGGATCGCCTGGGCTTCGGCTTCCTCGGGCGTTCCAGCGGTCTTAGTTTCGCGGCTCCATGACTTGTTTTGGCGGAGATCGTGCCAGGCCGTGGTGGTGACTAGATCCTTGAACATAGTGACAGTTGCGCACACAGGGACAAGGACAGAGAAGAGGAACACGTAGACGACAGACAAGCGCACACTCACAACTCATGTATTAACGAAAGAAGAAAAGAAAGTGGTACAGAACGCGGAATCCGCTCGAGCGTTGGCCACTCAGGCACGAGGGACCAGAGGCCTCGTGCCTGTGGGATAATAAGGATCTAGTCCAGAGGGATCTAGTCCAGAGGGATCTAGATCCTTATGTGCTGCGTCTGTGTACAGCACGATGGTGGTGGGGTCTTCCAGTTTCGTGGTTACGACGGTCAGGTGCTTTTGGGCGTAGTCCCGGCGCCGTTCCGGTTGGTCCAGGCCCATATTCCGCGGTATAGGTGTGCTGGAGGCCACGTCTGCTATTTCCCACGGGGGGATTGGGCGGCCGAGTTTAGGAAGCGTGGACACGTCTTGTCGCAGGAGTCGTAGTATGGCCCTGCCCTGTCTAGTGTGTTGCAGTGAGACGAGGTGCAGTTCGTGCTGGTCCTTGGCTAAGTCCTGTAGTTTGGGAAGGGGAACGCACCTGTGTAGCTCCTCCAGTTTGGTGTGTCTCGGTAAGCCCGCAATAGTTCTTCGGGCGTCATTCTGCCATCTTTCAATTGCTCGCCAGTGACTCTTATTCAACTTGTAGTAGTTTGCTCCGTAAAGTACCTTGGAAGCTAGCACGGCCCGTATCAGGGTCTTGGCCACCTCCTCGCTCGCACCACCGGTCTTTTGGGCGATGCGGCGGACCAGTGCCGTGCCCTGTTTCCAAATCTTGGCCATCCTGGTTAGCCATTCTTTGGGGGACTTTCGTTGGTTGAAGAACACTCCCAGGATCTTGTGCGTCTCTGCTTGGGCGATGGGGAGACCACCGAAGGTCAAGTCGTGAGTTGGGTGGCCTTTGCGGGTAAATATCATGTATCTGGTTTTGTCTGGTGACGGGGAGAGTCCGGTCTCTTTGGGAATGCTTCAATGGTGTCCAGTCCTTTCTGAAGGGTCTGCTCCCTCCTCGCCGGGTTCCCACTTGTCGTCCAGATGGTGATATCGTCTGCGTAAATGGTGAACTTCAAGGTGGAAATCTTGTTCAAGCGCCACGCCAGCGGGGCCATTGTCAGGTTAAACAGGATTGGGGAGATCACCGCGCCCTGGGGCACACCAATATTGTTGTTCCTTAGAGGTCCGCATATGTCGCCAGTCTTGATGGAGTACTTCCTTTGTTTCAGAAACCCCTTCACAAAGTTGAGGGGCTTGTGGGTGATGCCACCTTCTCGGAGTGCCTTTACGATCGCTTCGTGGGGTAGCAAGTCGAATGCCTTACAGATGTCGACCGCGACTAGCGAGCAGGTGCTTCCCTTGCGGTAGACGTCTGTAGACAGAAGTAGGAGGCTGTCTCTCGTACCCAAATGTTGTCGGAAGCCCGTTTGTGCCGCGTGGAAGAGCTTGCGGTCCTCGGCGATCCAGGTGATGCGTGCTAGGACGATCCTCTCAAACAGCTTGCACATTACCGAGGTCAGGGATATAGGCCGGGTATTCTTCGGTGTGTTCGGGGGTTTACCCGCTTTCGGGATAGGGGTGACCCACGACTCATGCCTTTCGTCCGGGAAGGTGTCGGTTTCCCACATGTGGTTGAACCAGCGAAGGACTTGCTGCTTTCCTTCTTCGGGTAGGTTCCGCAGCATGCTCGCGGTGATGCCGTCTGGGCCGGGAGCAGACTTTATTCTCCCTTGGTCAATAGCGGTCTCGAGCTCCCATCGGGTGATCGGGGTGTTCCACGGAGGGGGGTCTTTCGGTGCTTGTTCTAGAGTATAGATTGCTGCATTCGGGGTCGTCGAGGGTTGGGGGAAGAAGGCTTTTCCCATGTCTTCAAGTACGTCCTCGAAGGGCTTGTCCAGGGCTAGGGCCATGTTTTCTATCTTGTTGCGGACCTTGGTGATACCGAGCATGCCTCGGAAGGTGCGCCACAGCTTGCGTATCGACGTACGCTGGTCAAAGGAAGCGCAATGGTCGAGCCACTCGTTCATTCTGAGCTTTCGTGCATATTCCTCTGCTTCGGCGGTGATTCTGTTCACTTCCTTCAGTGTGTTCCGGTCTTTGGTTTTTCTGTACTCTGTGAGTTTGCGCGTGCGGTGGTCCCACAGGGATAGGAGGTGGGTGTCCGGTGTGGGGCAGTCCCAGTTCACCTCCTTCTTGGTCGAGGCTTCCCTCGTGGAGGCTACTAGCAAGGCGCAGAGTTTTGTCGACATGTCGTTTTCGTCAATTTGGGCGCGTAAAAGGGCTCTGAATTTGTCCCAGAGGACTGTGACCACAGTTTTCTTGGCCTTGGCCCTGTTCTTGATACGGATCGATATTTCTATGGGGTAGTGGTCGCTGCCCCACGCGTCGGGGAACACCGACCACTCCATCCCCTCGATTCTTGAGTCCACTAAGGTTAGGTCGGGGTTGGTGTCCTGCTGGTTGGCCGAGGTGCCTACTCTCGTCTTTTCATGCGTGTCGTTCGCGAGCTCGAGACCCGCCTTCTCGTAAGCTTCTAGTGATCTGGCCCCTCTCTGGTCATCGTCGTCGTAGCCCCACTCCCGGTGGTGCGCATTAAAATCGCCGCCTATGACCATCCTATCGTCTGGGTAGACCGTTCGTAACTCTTCTATCCAACTGAAGTTGGGGTCTTCGGCGGTAGGGCGGACGTACGCCGACACGAGGATGAGCTTATGGTTGTCTATGAGTGTGCGCACCGCAGTGACTTCCTGGTCTGGTGTGCACCATTTCTGCGTATCAATTTGGGCATGTGGTACGGTCCCCTTGAGGTAGACGGTGGCCAGTCCTCGTGCATCAGGAGGGCCGGTCTTTGTATATTTCCGTTCGATCGCAGGGTTGTGGAAGTAGTTGTATGCGGAGAGTCTGGGGTCCTTCACGTTGGTTTCTTGCATCAAGATCGCGTCGTACGAGTGTCGGTGTTGAGCCAGTCGAAGCTGGAATTCGTTTTTGCGTTTGGTTAGGCTTCTGCAGTTCCATTGTAGGATTCGAAGTTGTGTCGGAACCAAGGGCGAGGCTAGTGACGGCATGAATTTCGCGGGGCCTTGAGTTTGCTGGTTATGAGGACTGCTGGTGTGACTGCTGCATGGATCCCCCTTGTTCCGCGGCTTATTGTCCAGGGACATTAACGGTGAGGATGGGCTGACGTAGTTGGAACTGCGGCGGTGCCGGCGGGGTGGGGGCAAGGGTTGAGTGTTGGAGCTCGGCTATGAGTTGATTGAAGTGGGCCTGCATTTGCTGCTGCATTTGCTGCTGGAGTTGTACTTGCATTTGTTGCAGCCAGACTTGCATTTGGGACTTGAGGTCACCTTGAGATGGTGGAGGCTGGGATTGCTCCTGCTGTGGTTGCTTGTTGCTTGCTGGAGGGGGTGCGGGGTGGTTTGCCTGTGATCGCGGCGTGTCTCGCAGAGGTGGTTGCGGGCTTGGGTGAGCTTGCGGCTGGCTCGACACTTGATGCTGGGGGCCCGGCTGGAAATTGACTTCCAGTTCTTCTATCTTTTTTTGTAGGGTAGCCATTTTTCGTCGGCGGTCGGCAGCTATGCGTGCGTGCTCTGCTTCCTCCTCCTTATACCGCCTTAAGAGGGTAAGAAGCTCGTTGCGTTGGTCCATGAGCGGCGTGGTTGATGGTGTTCTGCTGTTGCGAGGCGTGGCTTTATATGCGTACGTGTCTTGCGGTGGCGCTGGCTGGTCAGTAATGTTTTCAGTCGATCGGGGCGATGGGTTTTTGGTCTGCTTGGAGGAGGGCGGGGCTCGCCCGTCTCCTGAATGGGGGGTCTGGGCTTGCCTTCCCGACTTTGGCTGCTGTGGTAGAGGATCAGGAGTTTGGCCTTGGTTTCCCACTGCTATTCGTCGGCGATGCAGTTGTTGGTTCAAGGCCGGGCGTGGTCGGGCACGGGCTTGGATCCTAGAGTCTACCTTTTTCCTCTCTGGACAGTCCCGGGAGGTGGCGACGTGGTCTTGGGAGCCGCAGTTGCGACACTTGACTGACTCACAGCGGTGTCCTTCGGTCAGAAGACCGTCGCAGGACTGGCAGCGCTTTTCCTGCGTGCAGATGTCGGACTTGTGGCCCAGGCCGTGACAGTTGTTGCAGACCACCGTGGAAGGGCGGTACGGCTTGACTTGTATGATCTCGTGCCAGGCGCGGATGCGGCGGGGTACACCCTGGCCTTGGAAGGTCAGAAGGTATGTGCCGTTGGATCCCAGCGGCCTGGCCTGAACAATCTCATGGTAGTCGGCTCGAAGCCCCTCGAGGAGTTTCGCCGGTGGGATGTCGGGTGTCAGATGAACGACCCCGCGTGGGAATTCCCTGGTGGCCGTTCGGTAGACTTGGACGTCGACTCTGCCGCTGCCTGTCTCAAGGTGCGTGAGCTGAAGTAGATTTGCTAGGTGTCGTTCGTCGTAAACGGTGACGGATATTGTATTCGTCATTCCGTTGCGGCGGTAGGCGAGGCGATCTTCGAGAACGGTCTCGCCTATTGCTCTTTGAAGTTGTTCTCCGATGAGATAGCTCGGGAGTTTTGAGACGTCGACGCGGGCCCGTGGGCGGATGGTGACTTGGTATTTGTCCAGGTCGTGACGGGGTGGTTTGCTGCCTTTGTCCGGCTTGTTGATCCTCTTCCTCCGGGATACGGTGATCCAGGGGAACTGATTGTCGGAGTCGGTGAAATCGGCGGAAGCATCTTGGCCGTCCTCGAAATCCGTCGGGCTGCGCTCGGAGCATTCGCTCTCGTTGCGGGCTCTCTTTGGGGGGAGCCTGTTCGTAATGGTGGTGACGGGAGTTCCTTGCTTGGATGTTGTCAGCGTTTCGTCGGGTGGCGAAGATGCGTCGGGTGTCATTTCGGTGTCGGGGGAGGCCGGTAGTTCCGTGCTGGAGGCGGTAGCCATCGTAGCCGAAGGCAGGGCGAGCTAGGCCTAATGGTAGGCCCAGCCTTCCCACTGGCCGGGAACGGCGGCGGCGTCGATGTCGGAGGCTTCGGAAAAAATGCGGCTGTGACGCTCACTTGCCTTCGGGCAGCTCTTTCCGGTGGCGAGCGAAGTTTTCCGGCGGAAAAACGTAGCTCGGGTCCTGGTTCGGGCGGGCGAGTGGCGGGCAGGGGCGATTCATGCAGCTCGGCGGGAGCGCCGAGAAACACGACTCTCTCCCACGGCGGCTCAATCGCAAGTCCGGAACAGAAGGGCGCTAGTTTCGGTTTGAAGTCGGTACTTTTTCTACAACATAGATGGCGGCAGCATCAGTCTTTTGCACTCGGTGCATTTGGCGAGTTCGTTTGAGTCCAGTTTTTCGTGCAACACTCTGTGAGTGCGATGCATTCTGGGAGAGAACTCGAACGGTGCCAGTGCGTGTGAAACGAACTCGCTATTAATAATGTCTGTCTAAAACCTAAAAATCAAAACTGTAAATGCCAAAGATCCGAAAATGCATGCGCACAACAACTCGGTGCTTGAGATTCTCTTTGAAGCTTTTGTCAATTTTTGAAAATAGGACAAAACAGTCAGCAGGATATAAAAACTTTTTTCTTTCACGGAGAAGCACGTTTTCTAGCCGTTCGTGCTGGTGTTTCTACACGTTGCCTTTGTGTGATAGTGCCTTTCTACGGCGAGGCACCAATGACCTTCAGAGCTGCACACTGGCAACGTTGTTACTCGTGACCTATATAAGAAGTAGTCTTCTTTAAGGTGGCGAATAGGGCGAGTTGGTAAACGTTATACATGATAAAAACCGCTCAAACGACGACGACGGAGTGAAGACAACAAACACGACAGGACGAATCTGTTCTCGCAACTAAAGTTTTGTTGGTGAATTTAACAGAAAAAAAAACAAAACAAAAAAAAACAGCGTAGCCGACACTGATTACATCAACAAACACCTACTTACCTATTAGGCACTACACAATATTTGAAACTGAAACGGTTCACCACACCGCTATTCATATTAGCTCACAAAGAACAAACCTCTTTATTTGACATGAGCTACCGATGGCACCTTGCCAGTTGTCAATAAATTGTTGTCTTTTTTACCGGTGTACGATGTTATGATTTTGTACTTGCGGTTTCATTAATATACAGAATGGGTGATTACTAATTTCTGATGAATTAGTAAATATGCCCAATGAACTTCAAGAATACTGCAAAAAAGTAGACATATTTTTAATGAAGTGACGAATGCGAATTATGTTAAATTACAACGTTTGATGCAGAATCCGCTAAGTTAAAGAAAAAATCGGTGAGCTATTTTTCGCATCCGCTCAACAGCCGCGGTGAGCTTTTCTCCGCATCTGCCGGTTTTGCGGTGAGCTTTTCTCCGGTGAGCTTCTCTCCGGTGAGCTTTTCTCCGGTGAGCTTTTCTCCGGTGAGCTTTTCTCCGCCGCCCATTTGTCTTGTCACTGACAAATAAAAATATTTGGGCGAAGGGTTGTCTGGAGTATTTAGTTATTTTTAACGATAAAATTTGGCCCCATCGAGAGGTAGTGGATCCGTTTAATAAAGATATTAAACTGCCTCTTCGCCCACATTGGAGCCTCATCATCGCTGCAGAGAAAATCGGATTACGCGGCATCCCACGAGGAATTCACATTGCTGGATCGAATTGTCATTGGGAAAACACGAGGCGCTCACTCGCGTCGGCTTCCTCCCATCCTCAAATCAACTGAGCCCCGCGTTTATAGCAACGAGCACAGCGCTTCGTAATGCTGGCGGCGGAGCGCGATCGCTACTGGCAGCTTTTGTACAGGGGGATTTCTGTTATTAAGTGACGAAACAGCTCAGGTTTCCTTTAGACGGGCCGGCAAAGTCCCAGACCTGCTCCGATCGAAAAAGCCTCGTCGTTTTCTTTCTTAGAAGGGCACACAATGACCGGTCTGTATTTTTATGTTTTCTTGTTGTTGTCTGTTTTTTTCCCCTTTAAGTATAATAAATTGACAAAGTTTGGCATCGCGCAGGGCTCGCCTTTATTGAAAGTCGTGCTACGTGCCTGGCAGACCGTTAAGCACGGCGTCTCCGGCTGAGGAGATAAATTTATATTGCCGATTTCGGCCCACTCCCGTGAATGTTTTGATTGCGTCGCGATGTTTCTGCGACTCGAGCCGCACTCGCCATCTCCGTGGATTTGCTTTGTTTGTCGCCCAACGTGACTTGGTGCCGAGAATAGAGGTCTCGGAGATTGCGTCTCTCGGAATGAGGATCTAATGCTTCTTCGTCCTCCAGCGACCATGGGTCTACGTAGAGTAAGCCTCTAAGGCGGAACCACTCGCTTTTTTTTTTTTTTGGTCGAGGTAAAATTGGAAACCCGGCAGATTGGGAGTTTGTTTCTTCATTGTTTATTTTAGGGATCGTCCTTCAGCAGTAGTAATTGGAGATCGCGGGTGCGCGCAGTTTCATTGAATTCGCCCGATAAGATGATGATTTTTTCCCCCAAATGCAAAAATAGTAATGTGGACTTGATGACACTAAGAATGATTAGAAAAAAAAATGAATTCGTGGGCTATTTGGTACATGTTTAACTTGTGAAGCGCCTAAAAAACGAGGACACGAGGAAAGCGAGACAGGACCAAGCGGTAACTTACAACTGAACGTTTTTTTTTTCTTTTTAATTATTTGTACACAAATTCAGGCTCCCGACACAAAAGGAAAACTGTTTCTCAGTTAAGTGCACTTACTATGCACTCACGCAGCTATCCTCGCCCTTTACTCTAAGGCAGTAGGCCTCAAGCAATTCTTTCTCAGTTTTGTTCTTTTAAGTTTTCCAACTATTTTTGTTTTGTTAAGATTAGGGGCGCAGAGACACCTATCACAGTGAATTGCTAGATTACACGGTGGAGAACTTCTAACGGAAAGGGCGTGCTCGTGTGCCCTATCGTTGATGCACCTTCCCGTTTGCCCTATATACGCTTTTCCG